TCCGAGATGAAGGGCTCCAGTGAACTGGTTTCCTACCTCTATAGATGTACCCTTTCAAGGCCATCTGGCCAAATACTTCAATCTACAATATACGATAAATAGATATGTTGATTTTATCAGGCTTTGAAGAACTCTAATAATAACCATCTCCTACATGGTATTTAATCCAGTACATAATGTGGGAGGTGAGTCCATTACCTGGGCTGCTTCATATTCCGGATCAAGAGTTAGATAAGGATTGTTCCAGTCTGCCCATACTCCAAACCGCTGTAAATACCAAGTACTATGTCAATGGAATACCAAACAAAATATCTTTCATAATTACTATGTCCAGAGAGATCTAAGAATTATAATGACTGATGCATTCAAAACACGATATCAGATATGAAAACAAAGCTTGATAGCCACCTTAAATGATTCCATTTGTGTTTTGACTGTTGCTTTTGCAAATTTCGCCGCCTTTGCCCTTAATTTTAATGGTGTAAGTTCCTTTCTTACTTCCTGATCCAGGGACTGCAGAACTGAAATGTTTGACGGTTACAGCCAAATTACTCAGGCAAGTAACTAACTGGAAAATAACAAAAGCACAGTTACTTTCTGTTTCTAATGACTCAAAGGTCCAAACCTATTGTGTACTTACCTTTCAACTCAATTGGAAGACCATGGCAGTCCCACCCAGGGACGTACTGAACTTTATAGTTTTGGAGCAGCTACATGAAAAAACATACAGTTTGATGAGAAGGAACTCCTCTATTGGACGTAAGGAAAAATAAAGAAGCCATAAGGAGAGTAAATGGATGTCCAAGTAATGAAAGACAAATACCTTATAGCGATTAATGATATCCTTCAGTATCTTGTTAAGAGCATGACCCATATGCAGATCACCATTGGCATAAGGAGGACCATCATGAAGAATGAAACTCCCCTGAAATTCTAACTAACTATCAGACACCAGTTTCTCAAAGCAAAGTTGGCGTAATATAATTTTGAGAAACTCACTCCATTGTTATTATCAGAAACTCTCTTGAAGACCTGGTTCTCTTCCCACAACTTCTGGAGTTCAGGTTCCCTTGTCAAAGAATTCGCTCTCATACCAAAACCTGTCTTTGGCAAATCAACCGTTTGCTTGTACTTCCCATCTTCTTGCTTTTCCCCTAACCAACACAATGGTAAATGAGTGCCACATAGCATAACAGTATTAGGAAAGAAGTGCAAGAAGTGGGATGCGAACCTTCAGATGCTTTCTTTGCCGCCATAACAGGCCCACGAGACCTTCGCTTTGATGAATGACCAAACTCATTGTTTGGCTCAGTTGAATACCGTGAGACATATAAGAATGAAAAAGCCTTGGCGGAAGACCTGCCCTTGGCAAGAAAAGAATCCAAGGGCGTGTTTCTTCTTAAATTTGAACAACTTCTACCTGACAATACCTGAATGGGGACAAACCACATCTCAAAAACTATTTCCAGCAAAACACAAGAATTTCTATCAGAATGATATAGGTGAAGTAGTTTTCCCCAAACAAGTTCCTTAGAAAACACATTTTTCTACGAAATAACAGAGCCTAGAAACAGAATTAGTTTGGTTAATGAGGGCTCTAAGCATCACAGAGGACATGTATGAGTCAGCATGAAATGCTCAGAAAGTCAGAACTCAAGTAAATTACTTGCTATTTCATTTTTTCTATAATATTAACACACTTTTATTATTCGAAGATATAAGCAATGGATAAAAGTCAACCCAGAAGCCACTGAAATTCTATCGAACAACTGGTGTGCAATAGTAAAACCTTAAGAACACAAACTATAACCAAAAAGCGAACTACTTTAACGAAACCCACAAACCGAAATTGACAATGCATTGATAATAAGAATCCAATTCGGAGACAAATGTGTTCTAGAAATCGAACTTGATTAGAAAGGCTATCACTTTCTCAGTACCCAAAACATATACAGTAAACAGAGCCGATGGATCCAAAGTAATCAAATTTACATTCACATACTCTGTAAGATGAAGATTGAACCATCGCCATTGCAGCAGCTTCCTTGGGATTTCCCGCAAAGGATTTGAAGAAAGACGACATCTTCTTCAATTTTCTCTCTGACGCTTCTATCTCTCAGAGCTCATTTCCACGCTATCGACGAAACAAAGATTGAGAAGGAAGGAAGGAAGAAGACTAACGTCGCCAAACTCAGGGAAGGCTTTGTGTATGTGTGTGGATAACTGAAAGTTGAAACTATAACCAAACCTCAGAACTTGTTTCAATTTTTGGGTTTTATCCTAAATCTCTTGTTTTTTTTTTTTAAATACAAATTCCCCTTTTTCTTCAATCTCATAATATTAAAAGAGAATTAATAAGACAGAAAATTAAACATTTTTTCTAAACAGAAAAAATCCATGTATTTCATGAATAAAATTTTCACATATATTAAAAAAAATATTTAATACTTAATTGTTTAAATCAATTTATTTTCACTCTAAAACATTTTCCAATAGTATAATTCAAATATCCTCCATTACTTGTTTTTCTATAAGGTTAATATTTTCTTGATCTTAATAATTAACATTCATTATATTATTTTATCAATGTACGTTTCATCTGTCTATTCCTGTATTTATAGCATGTATATACTAAATTCCATCTTAAACATTGTATTCCCTTGAAATAACGTTATTGTATGATAAAATCTTTTAAAAAGTACATAAATATACTAACAAGTAACAACACAAAAAGCTAAATTATTTATTAACACGTAATAAAAATAATCCGCGCATTAAGCGGTAGTTCACATAGTGATTAATTAAAAATAATAGAAAAATAAATGACGAAACAAAAACAACCATTAGATTAAGTGGGTGGATTTCTTAGCACCATCAATAATGCAAGATATAACAGTTATACTCAACAGTAGCGTCACCAGTCTTAATATCAAACCATTTGGTCCGAGCCTCGACATAACCTCTAGCGAACCGGAACATTCCACTGCCTCCAACCACTGGCATCTCCCTAACCTTGGATCACACCGTATTACGACCAAGAATCGTGATGGTACTCCCATTATACTTACCCAGAGCCGTGCCAAGCAATTTTGATGCCATAGGCGAAAAATATAGTTTCATATTTAAATAAAATATTATACACATAACAAAAATATATTTTACTGTTTAAAGTTTAATAATAAATTTACAAAATTTTAAGTAAAACTTATAAAATAACTTCTGAACAAAATAATTACAAAACAAAAAAAAATAGAAATTAGGTTGGTTATAACGTGTAGTCTAGTAATTTGTGTTTGTGCCGTTGTTGTGTTACCATTCAAACGGTATAATGTATGTTGTTAACAAAACAAAACAAAACAAAACATAGTTTTGGGAATTAATAAAAATCTAATATACTGAAGATAAAGTTGGATAAAGATGATTAATAAAGTTGGATAAAGATGATTAACAAAAATGAAGCTGGTAAAGAAGTGAGAAAAAAAGATTTAATGAGATTAAAAAAAAACTGAGAAAAGAATACTTTGAGTTATTGCTTAAGTGTGGAAATTTAAGATTCCTTGTATATATTGCACATTATACTACTTTCCTTTATTATTTGTATTAATCTCCCTAAAGTTATTGCTTCAATAGTACTTTACTTATATGATAAACACAATTAACAAATTAGCCTCTAAGATTTAGTACAAAATTCTGCAACGTAGGCGAGTGTTTCTTTTTTTCTTTAGTAGGCACGGCTCTGTACTTACCAGTCTTAAAAGCTAAGTTCATTGCCATCAAGAACCCTAATTCCTTTTGAGCTGCTCCGGCGTACATCCCTTGGGCTTGGCCCACCACAGTCGAGTTAATGGGCACATCTAATGTTAAAGCGTTGTCTATCATAGTGATTGATCCAAAGAATGAGGAACTTGAGTATTTCGAAACCGGTTGTTGGATCCTGATGGAACTTGGGTTTCGACCACTTAAAATGTCGTGCCAACAAACACGGATATGTGTGAGTGTGAGTTTCTCTTTTTTGCCGAGGCCGAGGTGTTTTCGGTTTACGGTTCTTGCAAACTCTTCATCATTTTTCCCGGCAGAAGTAACGGTTGCGCCGAGGAGGATGATTTGTGCCGCGAGGATGAATTGAGCTTTGCCATGTTAGTTTTGTGGTGGTACTTTGTTTTATTTGTTCTTGATAGTTTATGTAAATTGTGGGTGTATATATAGTGCAACTTGTGTGTTATATATATCGAGTAATAGATGAGATCACGAGTGTGAAAATTAAAAAGGAGGAAAAAGATAAACGAGTGCTATATATAGAAGAAGGCGTGTTATTTGAGAAATCTTCTAGAAAATAAAGTAAGTTTGGATTATTTGATTTGTGTTTGGTGGATAAAGTGTGAAATATTGTATTTTATGGGGATTACAATAAAATTCAATCAATATCAGTTACTAAAAGTGTGATTGTCAGAATATTTAGATGAGTATAGATGACAGCATTCGTAAATTGCAAATGTTGATTCCTCTACGCTTTGATGTGAAATCTTTTGGTAGTGTATTAATTTCTAAAAAACAAAAATATTGATATTATATCTTTCATATATATTATATGTGTTGGAAAACAACAAAAATCATTTTGTATCAAACCGCGCTTTTCTCTAAGGCCGTTAAGAAAATTGATATGAAATGGAGAAAAAAATTTATAGGTATTAAATTTTATTAAGCTCTCTCCAACTTTGGTTTGTTTATTTTTTTGTATCATCCGAAATTAATTAAAGATCAAAAGAGTTATTCGGGAATGTTGTTTATTCATATAAACCAACGAAACCCCAAACAAAATAAAACACCTTGGTCAAACTCTTTCAAATTTAATAGACCGATATAATCGGGAAAGCAAAGCACACCTCATGACTATTTAAAATTTTCTTTAACAAAAAGTTAAGTATTTAAATCGACCCGTTTTAGTAACAAGAGACCTTGCGTAAGTATCGGTCCCAAAAATAACGCTCGACCACATCATAGCCGCTCACTTCTCATTCAAATAGAGACTACTTTCCCTCAACACTACAATCACAAAGCAAATCAAGAAAGCTAAAGAGAATCAAAATGGCTAGTGGAAGTGATCAGCGTGTGGTGGTCGTAGGAGTAGATGATTCAGCCCATAGCTACCATGCACTCGAGACGGCTCTTGATCTCTTTTTCATACCTTTCAAGGCCAACCCACAATTCAAACTTGTCGTTGTTCACGGACGACCAACAGCGACCTCCTTCCTCGGTGTTGCTGGTCCTGGAACGGTGGATATTATACCAATGGTGGAACAAGATTTAAACAAGACCGCAGAATTGGTTAAGAAGAAGTGCTCCGAAGTGTGCTCGGCTAAGTCCGTTGAGATCTCGTCTTTGGAGGTGATTGAAGGAGATCCAAGGAATATTATGTTGGAAGCCGTGGAGAGACATCATGCATGTGTTATTGTCCTTGGTAGCCATGGTTATGGAGCTGTCAAGAGGGTGTTTTTGGGGAGTGTGAGTGATTATTTAGCTCATCACGCACATTGCTCCGTTATGATCGTCAAGAAACCTAAGGCTAAACCTACTTCTACGGAAACACACTAATGAGAGGAACAAGACGTCCTATTTTTGTTATATTTGTTACCATTCTGTTTTCTTAAGTAAGACCCTATCTATACTCTTCTTCCCCAACATCTTCAGTTTCACGTTAATAGATGTATCACTTCGTTTGTATACATTATATGAAATGGTTCTTCTTCGTCTTATTCGATCCTTACTTTCTTCTGTATCGAAACTATTGTCTAAAAACCAAGTTCTTGAAACATATATATTTACGTTTATTTTATTTGATCATAGTTAAAAGGTTCCACTTAAATTTTTTCTATGGAAAACTGTCTAACTTGCAAAAAGCTTGATGTTCTACAAAACTGAGATAGAAAACCCTATCGTGACTTAAAGGTGCTATAACCAAATACTCGTGTTGCCGAGGATTTCTAAGCAATGGCTTCAGCAACTTCTTTTCTCTTTTTTCTTTTCTCAGTTTACCACTTAGTGAGTCTCGTTTTGCATAACAATATGCTATCCAAGCTTGTAGTAGACAACACTTGTGTTTTATGCGAAAGACCATATATTCATGTCTTTTATAGTTACGAGCCCTAAGATCCCTATATCTAGCTAGGTCAGAAAAAGACATAATGCCATAAATTGAAAAAAAAAAACAAAATTGAACTGAAAATTGTAGGGCTTTACCCCGAAGGGAGCCATTCCAGAAATTCTCGAAGGCCGAAGACAAACTTAGACCTAGGAGGGGGTTTGAAAATAGTTTTCAACCAGCAATAGACGTGCCTCGGTTAGAACCTCATTAGCTGCGACATTGCCCCAAGCGCAAAGATAAATTTCTTTCATCAAAAGCCTCTTTATCTTATATCAAAACAAAACATATTAACTTGATGCCCACATGATGGTGGGCTGGTGGTTGGTAGGCCCAAGGTGGATGGGTGCAACTCCCTCTTCCCCATGGTTCAATTCAGTGCCGGTTATTGGCATGTGCAAGGGGTGCATTTGCACCGGGTCCAACAAATTTAAGGTCCAAATTCATAGTTTTTCTATTATTTAACTATTTAATTATGCTGAAATTTTATAAAATATCTATATGTAAAGGTCCCAAAATTCTATTTTAAAAGGTAATATTGAGGCCCAAAATTAATAAACAAAAATAACAAGTCCAAATAGCTATAAAATACAAAATAATTTATGAAATATAACTTTTTGTAAATATATATATATATAAATTTTTTATTAAAGATAGGATTTTTTTTGTATGGCACCGGGTCTTACCGATGAGTGAGCCGGGCCTGGTTCAATTCCTCCCTCATGCTGTTATCAACATTATTGTGGGAAGTCTGTCAGTTGGACTTTGGTCCAATTGGTTTACCTGGTAGTCAGAAATGCAGGCGGCCTGACTATCTCCTGGCACTTAGTCGGAAGGCATTCTAAACTCGGGATAGGCAGAGTGGTAGCCCGAAGGGCCTAGCCGTTAACACGGTGGACCAGTCCACTATGTAGCACCTCGGTGCGTTCCTACCGGGGCCGACCGGATAGCCGATAGGGTTTATCAAAAAAAAAAAAAAAAAAAAAAAAACATATTAACTTGATATATTCTTCCGATGTGGGATTGTATACCAAAACAATAAATATAACATATCGAAACTTGACATTCTTAATAAGAGATTACCTTATAACTTAACTTAAAAATGTAAACATGTAAAAACAAAGTGAGACTATTAATGGAAGGGACCGCGCGAAAGCAATATCGCGCGGTCCCTTCCACAAATAATGACGGAGACTCTCCCACTTGGGGAGACCTTAAGCTAAGCAATATGCAATAGCTTAGGCCACTCGTGTTTTCGATCACAAGCCGACCCATCCAGGTAAGTACTTTTCTCAATTGCTCCACATCTTGTTTTATAGTCTGCTTCCTCAATCATTCTTTTAGCTCTAAGCGATGTGGGCAGTGGCGGATCTAGGAAAATTATTTGATGGGGTCAAAATATGTTGGTTCAAAAAAATTTATAACCCGATAAGAAATATAACCATAAATAATATATAAAATATTTATTACAACGCCGCAAGCGCACCTGTTTTCAACCGCTTAACCAGTCAGTTAAAACGCTAAATAACGTTTGAAACCGAAATCGCCAGCTTCCGCAAACTTTCACAACCGCAACCGCAACTATTGCGTTTAAACTAGTCAAACCCTGAGTTGTTTTATTACTACAGATTACAATTGGGTTAGATTAAAATGATTGGACTCTACAATTTCAAATAATTGGGCTTCATGTTGTCGTTCAATAAAACTTAAAATCGCCCAATTGAGTTTGAAGCTAAGATCCCTAAGTCGACCTCCTGTTCTCTCCGCCTGAATCGACCTTCTCCGGCGTCTACTCAACTTCCTCCGAGCTTCGCCGATTTCATTTACCACCATTCCGTACGTCTCTCGTCATCTCCCTGAAAAATCAAACTCTGGTTTATGATTTCTCTCTCTCTCTCTCTCTCTCTCTCTCTCTCTCTCTCTCTCTCTCTCTCTCTCTCTCTCTCTCTCTCTCTCTCTCTCTCGATGTGTGTATATATATGGGGAAAAGGTTTAGTAAAAAGAAAAAAAAAACAATTGTTACGTTTTGAACCAAAAAAAAGCTCAACAAATCTTCAGCTTTTATGTTCACTGAACCATTTTTGTTTCGATAAGCAAAAAAGGAACTTAAGAGTTTAAGCAAAACGTTGTCGTTCAATAAAACTTAAAATCGCCCAATTGAGTTTGAAGCTAAGATCCCTAAGTCGACCTCCTGTTCTCTCCGCCTGAATCGACCTTCTCCGGCGTCCACTCAACTTCCTCCGAGCTTCGCCGATTTCATTTACCACCATTCCGTACGTCTCTCGTCATCTCCCTGAAAA